CATACAAATGTGCACACCGATCGACATTTCACATGAGTTACAAAAAATCTTTATACAAAATACTTTATGTGTGTGCAAAAAAGCATATATATTTGGTTACCTTTAGTTCATTGAGCAAAATTCTCATGTTTCCTGCACTCAATGCTCAGTTGCTTGACGGCGGCTGCATATTTACGTTGTAGATCAGTGAGCGCTTGCATCTTGTACGTCAACTGATCGCGTCTTCTTCGTTCTTCATTCAGCCGCTTATCCACTTTAGCACGCGATGATTTCACATTCTCGATGATAGACTCAAATTGCTTTAAGAATTCTTCTTTCCCTGCCGATGTTTGCATTGCACTGCAGTGTATAATATTGTTAGGTTAATAAATTATTCGAATAAACACAAAACTTACGTTGGATAGCTATCGGATATTGAGTTTAGTAAAGAAATCTCCGTTTTCATATACCGTCGGGTATCCTCCAGCGTATTGTAGAGAGTATAATATTGTTTGGTTTCTTTATGTTTGGAGGCAACTAAACATAAACATTTTAGTTAGTTTTTTTAAATTTACAAGCAGTAATATAATCTGTACCTTGATTATATAGTTCTAAAAATCTGCGTTGATACTGCGCTAATTCAGCACGACTCGGTACGTCATCCAATTGTCGCTGTAAACTAACAATCGTTCTATTTTTCTTAGCCAATTGCAATCTAACTGCTTTCAAGCGTTGTCCGGCTTCCTTCACTTCCTGTTCGTTTAATTCATCATTCACTACGGGCGTTTTCGCCTTTTTCGTCTCTTCGATTAAAACATGTAAACTAGACAATTCCTTTTTGCAATGTTCACGGAACTGTAACTCCTGTGTGCGTAAATTATCATTGAGTATCACAAGATCCTCGACTTCCTTCACATTATCAGCAGTCTCATCCGTCGCTTCTTCGATTTCCTTCAAAGATTTACGTGTTTCTTCTAATCTACTTTTAATCTCTTGCAGTTCCTCATTGGCTTGCTTGATATTAGCGGAAATACTTGCTTTATCACCTTCTAGTTTACGGCAATGATCTGATATCAACTCGTTTTGTTTCTGCAGTACGAGAAGTTTTTCCATTTCGCGTGACTTTAATCCGCCATCTTGTAATTCGCTGTGCAGTGCCATGTAGTGCTTCGTTAACTTTTCACGGTCTTCGAGGTTTAACTCATCATATAACACTGTATCCTATTGGAATTAAATTTTAAAGTTATAAAATCAATATATTTTAATATGTTACACAGCGCAGCGTACAAAAATATTAAAAATAATAGAAAAACACTTACAGCGTCGGATATTTCAGCCATGACATTTAAAATACGATCAATTTGCTAAGAAAACACAACAAAAATTATAAGCACAACGTTAACACACTACAATCTCACACGAAAGCGATATTTTTACCTCGTTACTCTCCTGTTCCTCAACCTCTTCACTTTCCGTGCTCTTTGATGCAGTCATCTTACCCCTCATGCCATATTCCAACAGTGTCACCTGCACTTGTGATGAAAAGTCAGCTGGTGGACCTGTCTTACGCTTAAAACACCGCCGGGGCCGGTACACTTCGTTGATACTATTTATATTGCACATAATTTGTTCGGTTTTGCCCGTTGGCTGCTTGTTTGTGGGCGCAAAAGCCTTATGGTACTGATTAATGGCGTACGAGTGTACAAACGCAGCGCGCTCCTGACGATACTCCATCGAACGCTTGACAAGCCATTGTATCACTGGAAATATGTGGATAAAATCTAATCCCTGGATCTGATGCGGTTCAATCGCATGCGGACATTTGAGTTTCGGCAGGACGGCCACTATTTTCTCAGTTAAAGCTCTAAAAATATTTAATTAATGTAAGTATTGACGAAATTGATGATTAATCTTACATTTTTTGGCCAATAGTTGAATTCTCTTGAAATAATAAATCCACATCCACATCAACATTGCAAGACTCTATACACCAAGTCATTCCACCCACAACTTTATCAAAAGGTGATAAACCTTTGATTCTGGCACGAAAATATCCAGCAGCAACAAGAATATCAATAATCTCCTGTAGTTTGACTCCCTGTTCCTCATCTTCACGCACTTCCACCTACAATAATCATTTTTATTTACTGAATTTATTATTAATTAAAATAGAATTGTACCTCTGTGCCATCTGCATCTTGTCTGGTGGAAAGTTGCTTAAACTTTCTGAACATTTCTTGATTTATTGCCGCCATTTTTTTCACTTGCGGCTTTATCACATTATCACTTCAGTTACTGCATATTTTAGTTTGTTCGTAGGGAGATAAGAGAGTTGGGTGTGAAGGACATGGAATACAAATTGGCTTTAACTGTTTGTTATTCAAGGGCTAAGTGGAGTTCATCATGAGTTCGGTAAACGTCAAAACATTCAGTTGCAGGTTAGATCGTCGCAGATGTCAATAAAGCAAGTGTACTAAATTATTTCTGTGACTATTATTTATTTTCTGCGTAATAACGTATGTATAATTGTTCATTTTATTACTAGAAATTGTATTTGTTAGTAAGTATCTTTTATACAAGATTATATTTATCTTATATATTACTTTGAAAGTATAATTTGCCCAGATGTTTTGAATCAGTCGGTGTTTTTGTAGCATAACAAGTAGCGCCATGGTGGTGAAAGTTGCAATCAAATTATACAACATAAACTTGTACATTAATGAAGTTTATCTTTCTTGGTATTGATTACATTTTCTCGTATTAATCCTTACTTCGGGTCATTTCATATCGAACTAAAATATTAATTTCGATTATTCCTAAATGATTCATAACTTAACATTTTATGCCAACGTATGTGCCGGTAACTACCGCCGCTGTGGTGTAAAAGCGAACTAAACAAGAACATACGGCAAGTTTCTGACTTTTTCCCTAAATTTAACTTTTCTGAGCTTAAAACCGGCTAATTATATAATGCTGCATATCCTTGACAGAACACGTGCTGAAATTAAGGTTCAATAACTGTAAAAACCGGCAAATCAAGTGTAACAATGTTTTATTTGCAATTGAGTGCACACTTCATTGGTTCCTAACATTACAAAGTACAAGTACAGCACATTTGATATCTCTTTACACATCATTGGGAATAATTTACGCGTTTTAAAATGCATGTTCTTTAAGATCACAACAAAATGCATCCTCTCTAATCCTCATAAACCCACTCCTTCTGCGCTGGGGTCCAGCCAATCTGCTCCTTCTCTGTGAACCACAGATTGATCTCCTTCTGGGCGGACTCGACAGAGTCGGAACCGTGGCAGATGTTGCGTCCAACTTGCACGCAGTAATCTCCACGGATGGTGCCGGGGGCACTGTCAGCGGGGTTGGTGGCGCCGAGCATCACACGGCCGGTCTTCACGACATTAAGACCTTCCCAGACCATTGGGACGACGGGTCCGCTGCTCATGTACTTAACAAGACCGCCGAAGAACGGCTTGCTGGAGAGATCAGCGTAGTGCTTGGCGAGGAGGTCATCAGACGCCTAAGAGATTTAAATAAAAAATAATTAAAAACCGCATGTAAAATATGTGGAAGATTTACTTACCCACATGAACTTCATGGAGACGAGTTTGAAGCCTTTCTCTTCGAAACGCTGGACGATTTTGCCGACGAGTCCACGGTGGACGCCGTCAGGCTTGATCATGATGAAGGTGCGTTCGCTGTTACCCGACATGGCTCTGATTCCGCGAGAAACTAAGAAAAAAACCGTCAAGAAGGAAATGAGCATAAACTAGCGTGGCTGGACGCGAACGAAATGAACGAGTGTGGCGTGCCGACGCCACAGGAAACCACGCAGAGTATCGTCGATATGTTGTGTGGGGGAACAATGTGACGATCGCGGCTTCGCGTGTCTACGTCGAGATCGGTAGAGTTTAAAAAAAGGGGCCGCGAGTCAGACGAGAACCAAGATGTCCACCAATTATACTATACATATAGGCATAGCCGCTGGTTTGCAGGCCGACAGAACTTACGATCCTGCGCAAGTCTTTCCATGTCTGCTTCAACCTCACTTCCTGCACCTGCTCCATCTTCACCGCCACCATTACACTCTTGCCTTATCATGATCTTTATCAAATTCACCGTCTGACGGTCATTCACTATTATATTTGTTTTTTGCTTGTTGGTCCTGCCAACTTTTAAATTTGTTGAAAATCGCGCATTTATAAAATGGCAACGTGCCAAAATAACACGATTCGCGTATGTCGCCAATTGTTAGCTCCGGTTTGCTCTGTTTAGCTCTGTCTCTATTTGATCTATCGATTTGTTTATTGCGCTGTCATTGTTGCAGTTTTGGGCACATAACGTAGCAACCGCCTTTGCGTGCGGTAAGCCGTTACTATGATCTTAATGGTAATTTCTACTAGTGTTGACTCCTTGTGCGCTTAATTAAGTGAACAATTTGCCCAGAATAGCCGAGAAAACTAAATTAACCGAAGGTAATGAACATTTCGCTACATTTACTAACTTCGAAGCGTCAAAGAAAACACAATCGATTGTGGTCGGACGTTGTTAACCAACGGATGCTATAGAATCAAAAGTTAGTCATGTTTCTATCTGATCATTAGGAAATTACTCGATATGGCAAAAAACGAGACTTTAATGATAAGTCAAACATTTTTATTTCGATTAATTAATAGATAACTGGATTATAACGCGTTGTTAACTTTCTTTTCTCAAATGACACCGTGTGTCAACAGTTTAACGATGTTAATTAAACAATTGAAGGATAATAAAAGTAGTAGTAATTATAGAAGCGAGTAAAACTTTCCTTCCATACAAATATTGAAATTTCCACACGGATGTGTTTCTCTAGTGATATTTTAACGCGTTTTGAACGCTAGCAATGGAAAATTCCGCTTCAAGGGCATTCGAATGCCAGCTGCGCGTTCTACGTATTTGACCAATCAGCACAGGTTGTAATGCAACATGGCACAAGTCGATGTACTGCGCCTGCGCATATGCAGCAGTTTGGTTCCGGAGCAGATCACTAGCCGTACGCCATATTTTTTTGCGCTCTTAACACGACAACACCATTACAAGAATTGCATGCGCAATTCGTACGCAGTGCTTTGTTATTTCTTCGGAAAGAACTGTTACTGCAGTGTGACGCGAGAATAAGACAATCGATTGTGTTTAAGTATAGATAGGGTGACGCGATTTACGAGTGAGTTACGTTTTCCATGTTCGTCATGCAGACGCAAGGTATCAACAATCAATCGCACGGCACGCCGACAAATCAAGTGATCATAAAAATGAACGAAGCACCGCAACTGACGTCACTAGGTAAGTTTGTTGTTTGATTTCATTGTTACGATGACACTCAGAATGCAAGCCAAACCTTTTACCTTGGTTCCGGGAGTGCATTATCGGTTCATCTCTTCGAATTGTAATTTATATCAAAATGGAGTCGCAAAATTAAATGTTTTCATTAACTTATTTTGTTTTGTTTAGGGCTCCTTGAATTGGCACATAGAGAATATCAGGCTGGTGACTACGAGAACGGCGAGCGGCATTGTATGCAGTTGTGGAGGCAGGACTCAACCAACACAGGAGTGTTGTTGCTGCTCTCCAGTATTCACTTTCAATGCAGACGCCTGGAAAAATCAGCACATTTCAGCACACTGGCTATTAAACAGAATCCGCTTCTTGCTGAAGCATATAGGTAAATTTAAGTGTGAAATAAATCATCCATTTTGTTAACTTTGTTATTTCTTTGCCCTCAGTAATCTTGGAAATGTATATAAGGAACAAGGACAGCTTCCCGACGCTCTCGCGAACTACAAACACGCTGTCCGCTTGAAACCTGACTTCATTGATGGATATATCAACTTGGCGGCGGCGTTGGTTGCAGCTGGCGACATGGAGCAGGCTGTGCAAGCATATATTACTGCACTACAATATAATCCAGTAAGTCTAATCACGTTTAATATATTTATCTGCAAGTTTGTAATTATTTTTTGTATTGCAGGATCTTTACTGCGTGCGCAGTGACCTGGGTAATCTTCTTAAAGCGTTAGGACGCTTAGACGAAGCCAAGGTAGGTCAAAACGAAATAGTTTGAATTTCCTCTCGTTCCATCCTCTCATTACATTGTTGTCGACATTGCATTTGGTGCAAAAACCTAGTTTTTTTTTCATGTTTAAACATCAAAAATATGCAATAATTTCTCTTGATAAATCAGCAATCTAAAGGACCACCAAAATGCAATGGCGATATAAACATATACCTTACGCAAGAGTATAATTACAATTTACACTGCGCTTGTTTGAAGACAGTGTTGCATTTAAAGATGGCTGATGGTTTCATTGAGCGCTTTGGCGTAGCAAGCGCATTACTAAATTGCGACAAATCTTCGAACGCCAACCGGGTCGCAAGCGCTGCGACTTTTGGGCATACAGAGTTGGTATTCGTCGAGCGTAGAAGGTAGAAAATTTCCGATGGCTCGATCTTGGCGTACTATTCATAGGCGTTTTTTATTTTGTCCTAAGCGTAAACGGTATATTTTTGTTTACTTTTTGTCTTAGCAATAAGAATATCGCACATAAATAACGTATTTAATCATAGTGGGTGTGTTATTCTCATTGGTAGGACAAATACAGCGAAAGCGTAATTTGTTTTTTCATTGCAAATATGATCATGATATGAAATTATCAGGCATGGCGAGACACTTGCGTTAGGTTCATCATACTAATGATTATATTTTTTTATTGAAGGAATCAACGTATCCATGTGTTAAAAATACAAATTTAGGCGAATCGAAACAAAAGTTGTTTTGTTTTTTAACTTATTCTGTTTGTTATCGATTCGTGTATGTTTGTCTTTTTAAAAAAGTGTAAATTTACATGAATCCTGTGAATCCAAAGCCCCCCTTTATAATCGATTAACATTTGTTCAAATCAGGATTATCACCTTATCACACGTGGAAATCCGGCTGTCAGTAATCAAATGGGGCGTTTATGTTTTCAGATGATATTTGCGTTAAAATTTGGTGATAAATCTGTTTGATTCGAACGATCGAAATGTTATTATACATGCCGTGTGTGTGTTTTCTCGAAACGACAGTATTAATCTAATGATGGTATTACTATTGCTGTACAATAACACAGGTTTGTGGCATCAGTTGTGGCGCGCTGCGTTTGTAAACACTTCGAAGCCTGGTAAACAAGCGCTTTAAATACAGGTAATGTACGCAGGCGATGAGCACATTCTCTAAGGGGTATTTATTTTCTATCTTTATAGCGGCAAGCGATTGTTGTTTTTAGGTAATCGAGAGAGAGGTGGGGCCACTCTCGCGCTGGCGTAGCGTGTTTGTTATTGCTAACCAAATCAATTAATATATACACACCATAATATACACACACTCCCTGTTTTGAGAATTTTTCGTCTCTTTGACGCGCCAAATCGATTGCGAATGCGTATCTCTGCGTGCGTAAACTCTATGCGTAGTTGAAAGTGCAAGTTGCGTTTTGCTGCATTGCGTAGATCTGCTGCTGTGTTGTGTTTTATACTTGCGTATGCGTCGAGTTTTCCATCCGCCGCGCATCCAAATACCTCTTTTGTAGTCTCGCTGGGCGCGAGCGCGCGCTGCGACTTTGCGATATGTTGATGATGATGACTGACACACGGAGATGGCCCCCCGAAAAGTGGATGCTTGCGCGAATGCCGCGACTGTATCTTGCGCACGTATTAATTCCTAGCTTGTCTGTCTCTCTAGGCGTGTTACTTGAAGGCGATCGAGACGCGAAATGATTTCGCCGTCGCCTGGAGCAATCTGGGGTGCGTGTTCAATGCACAGGGTGAAATCTGGCTGGCGATTCATCACTTTGAGAAGGCGGTTGGTCTGGATCCCAATTTTCTCGACGCCTACATCAATCTTGGCAACGTTCTCAAGGAGGCGCGGATTTTTGATCGGTATGTATTGATGTTTTCGTTATAATTACTATTACGCCTCATTTAAGAGTGTTATTAGTAAGTTATTCTGAGGATGACTCAAAATGTCGTCATTCAAGGTTTACTAGTGTTGCGTCATGTTGAACACTATTAGTTCATGTTTGGTGTTTTCTTCAATTGCAATCGATAGTGCAGTGAAGTTAGTTGTTTAAAATTTTGTGCTTCATCATTTTAAAAGCATATCGGTAAGGTAATCAACCGAGTTACCCTAATAATCTCAACTAGCAATTGTATTGGAAAAGGTAGCGCGGAAATTAATTTCGTTTATTAACGCTCTGCACGCAATCGTTGAATTATTATGCTATCGATTGTCACTGACGTTGACGCCGTGTTTGACATTATAAAAAATACTATTTTTATGCGCCTTGTTGAAATAATTTACCGCTCGCGTGCAGCTCACCTACGTTTTGCGCCTAATTAAAACTTTTCCGAACGGTCGGGAAAGTTGTAAGCACAAAATTAAATAATTCGCAGGCATTTGTGGTGAAAAGGGGGCGTGCACGTAACCTTGATGTTTGCTCAAGGCAAGCCTAGGCGCTTTGACTTTAGGCTCGTGTGCACGCACGCATTGCAAACCATGTTGCGTCGGGACGCACGCTTCGCTCGATAGGAGCAGCGAGGCGTTTGGCGTTAAAGTGTGTCATGCACCAACCGATGATGCGGCATGCGGGATGCGAAAAGTGCGGATTGCGCAGCCTCTGCCGGTTACCCTGGCGACGCCACCCCGAGACCCGGCCACGTCGCGTCCACCACTATCATCCACCCGCCACCAGCAGCCGCACGCTGCCATTCAGTTTCAGTCCAACCGCCGCTCCGACGCACGCCGCACGCCTCTTTTCTCTTCCCTTCGTCGTACTCTTCTCTACCGCTATCGTAGTGCCTAGTGTAGACACCTAGTGCTTCTTGTCCCTCAATACTCTCTGCAACTCTAAAATAAAACCTCACTCAATATTCGTGTATTTCGTCCAAAACTTAGAAACTCTAAACAAAGTTATTTTCTCTAACATTAACATTGACTCCCGCGGCCGCACAAATGTTTGCACATTTTTTACAATTTTCATGACCTTAGGATGTGTCACGACATACAGAATATGTTGTGTTTGGACACAGTTCGAAGGCACGCGATGATGTTTTCACATGTTTAAAAATACAATCTATATAATTTTAGTCTGTATACGACAATAATAAAATTAACAAAAAAAAACGGAAGGGAACATAAACACCAACGCTCGGAACCATAAACTAAATATTTAGTTTACGCTCGACGGGAGAGCAGTAGTAACTCGCGATTTAATAGTAGAAAATGTAGAAAACGCAACTTTTGCCGCCGATTGAAATTGACGTGTGCGTCATTGCGCGCCGGGAATACACACATTACATGTGGCGCGCTTTCCCAATTCGCCTTGTTTCCACATCAAAATTGAGTGGCGCGTCGTCGAGGTTGTTGGTCGCGCAGTTTTTCACGCGCCGCGAAATTATGCATAAGTTGTGAGCGGGTGCGTTTTTTTTTACTTGTGTTTGGACATGTTGTCGTCGTGGCTGACATGGAGTTGCAATGCATCGTCGTGTACACGGTCATCGATATACGCGCGGAAAAGTGTGTGGATGAAGATGCTCGTCGCGGTGGTAAACCCCCTGAAGGATGCGGTGCATGGATTCGCAGTCAATTCAAAAGGTTGAGAAACTGAAACTTTTCACTTTTCTGTATAATACATATATGTGGGTTTATTTATGGAAACACGTGCGCGCAGTTTATGCGAAAATAATTTTGTTTTTACTTCAACCTGTTGCATAAATTTCTTTTTTTGACCGCGTTTGGTTTTTTTCTGTTGCAATTTCAGAGCGGTAGCGGCGTATCTACGCGCGCTGAACCTCTCGCCGAATAATGCGGTCGTGCACGGAAATCTCGCGTGCGTCTACTACGAGCAGGGCCTCATCGACCTGGCGATCGACACCTATAGGCGTGCCATTGAGCTGCAGCCCAACTTCCCCGATGCTTACTGCAACCTGGCGAATGCGCTCAAGGAAAAGGGTCAAGTTGCGGACGCTGAGGAATGTTACAACACAGCGCTACGTCTATGCCCATCACATGCAGACTCACTCAACAATCTCGCCAACATCAAACGCGAGCAGGGATATATTGAGGAAGCCACACGGTTGTATCTGAAGGCGTTGGAGGTCTTCCCAGAGTTCGCCGCCGCACATAGTAATCTCGCATCGGTGTTGCAACAGCAGGGTAAGCTAAATGAAGCGCTCATGCACTACAAGGAGGCGATTCGCATCCAGCCAACATTCGCTGATGCCTATTCCAACATGGGTAACACACTCAAGGAGATGCAGGATGTCGCGGGCGCTTTGCAATGTTATTCCAGAGCTATTCAGATCAATCCGGCATTCGCCGATGCACACAGCAACCTGGCGAGCATTCACAAGGATTCCGGGAATATCCCCGAAGCGATTCAGTCTTATCGCACCGCGTTGAAGCTGAAGCCTGATTTTCCGGACGCGTATTGTAATCTGGCGCATTGCCTGCAGATTGTCTGTGACTGGACGGACTATGACTCTCGAATGAAGAAGTTGGTCGCCATTGTGGCTGATCAGCTGGAGAAGAACCGTCTACCGTCGGTGCATCCACATCACTCTATGTTGTATCCGCTCTCACACGAATTCCGCAAGGCAATTGCAGCCAGGCACGCCAATTTGTGCCTAGAGAAGATTCACGTGTTGCACAAGCCTCCGTTTCAATTCTCGATGGAGATCAAGGGTCGCTTGAAGATCGGCTACGTTAGCAGCGACTTTGGTAATCATCCGACTTCACATTTGATGCAATCTGTTCCAGGTACGTTTTATTTTTCTTTTCAAAATTTTAAGATTTTGTTAATTGTTTTTATCAACGTTGTATAGGTTTACACGATAGGACAATGGTTGAAGTGTTTTGCTATGCTTTGAGCCCCGATGACGGAACCACATTCCGAGCAAAAATCGCTCGCGAAGCAGAACACTTCATCGATTTATCGGCCATTCCATGCAACGGTAAGGCAGCGGATCGCATTCACGCCGACGGCATTCACGTGCTGGTTAACATGAACGGTTATACTAAAGGCGCCCGAAATGAAATCTTTGCTTTACGGCCCGCGCCGATACAAGTTATGTGGCTGGGCTATCCAGGCACGAGCGGCGCTAGTTTTATGGACTATCTTGTCACTGACGCTATTACTTCGCCTCTGGAGCTTCAGGCTCAGTACAGTGAAAAGCTTGCCTATATGCCTTACACATACTTTGTTGGCGATCATCGTCAGATGTTCCCGCATCTTCAGGAGCGCCTTATTGTCGCAGATAAGTCTGCAAACGGAGTCGCCGATAATGTAGCCATAATCAACGCCACTGACTTATCTCCGCTTGTCGAAAGCACACAGGTAAAAGAGATCAAAGAGGTGGTGCAAGCTCACAAACCGGTCGAGATTAGTCTCAAAGTAGCTGAGTTGCCAACAACGACACAAATTGAGACTATGATCGCTTCCGGGCAAATTGAGACCAGCCTGAATGGTGTTGTGGTGCAGAATGGTTTGGCCACCACGCAGACGAATAACAAAGCAGCGACGGGCGAGGAAGTACCGCAGAGTATTGTCGTCACCACACGCAAACAGTATGGCTTGCCGGATGACGCGATTGTGTACTGTAATTTTAACCAGTTGTACAAAATCGATCCGGTGACGCTCCACATGTGGGTGAACATCTTGAAGGCGGTGCCCAACTCTGTGCTGTGGTTGCTACGTTTCCCTGCTGTAGGTGAGCCAAATCTGCTGGCGACGGCGCAGCAATTGGGCCTGCCGGCGGGCAGGATTTTGTTTAGTAATGTAGCGGCGAAGGAGGAGCACGTGCGACGCGGGCAGTTGGCTGACGTTTGCTTGGACACACCGCTGTGCAACGGGCACACGACTAGCATGGACGTGCTGTGGACTGGGACTCCGGTCGTGACGCTACCGTCTGAGACTTTAGCGAGTCGGGTGGCGGCTTCGCAACTTCACACACTTGGATCACACGAGCTGATAGCGAGGTCGAGGAAAGAATATCAGGAAATTGCGATTAAATTGGGCACAGACCGAGAATAGTAAGTTTTTCTCTCCTGTTTTATTGTTTAGTTTTTTACTTATTTTTATTTTTTGTTTATTTTACAGTTTGAAAGCAATGCGACACAAGGTATGGACAGCGCGCATGTCATCGCCTCTCTTTGATTGTAAACAGTACGCGCAGGGACTGGAGACACTCTACCAGAAGATGTTCCTGCGTTTCTCCAAGGGACTCAAACCCGATCACATTGACGCGAATCAAAAGTAATTCTCGACATGACACACCAACTGTTGTTTCTTCTTCTACGATTTCCTTCTTAACTCTGCATAAGTTCAACACTTTTATTCTTTGATAGTATTTTTATTAGAAAATGGTCGGACCTCATGGACGGCGGCTACGCGGTTAGCAATAGAAGAAAGAGACTATTTGGACCAGACTTTAATGTATAGAATAGATTTAAGGATGTCTGCGATCCCGAAGCGAAGATTATGTGAGAGGTGACATTTATTGCTGTGCTCTATTTATATTATATATTAATTATAATCTTAAATGTTATAAGCGTTTTTATCGAGAGAAAGAAAAAATCCTCCTAGAAACAAACAGGTACGATTTTCCGTTTTTTATTTTCTCCGTTTAGGGTGTGGAGCAATGAAAGTGGTCGTATACCGTGGAATTTTGTTTAAACATGGCGAGCTGTTTTACGATTACGATCTTGAAAGCTCGGTTTTTTAGCATCCGTTTCGCCCCTTTATTGCAGTCCCTTGGACTGGAAGAGAATTCGCAACTAATCGCCAATTTCAGTACGCTCAGCGCACGTTTATGTTTCTCTTCTTATCGTCGTCTGTTTTATTTCATAAACAACTTTTACGAGAGAGAGAACTTGAGTTAATTTAGTTCTCTTGATAAAAATTATGGAAGTTTGTTCTATTTTTACGTAGCACCAGCAAAAAGGAAATGAATCTGTGCGTGTTGCAGCTCTTGAGACTTATCAAAATTCTATTTAAATACGCTCTTGAAATGTGTTCTGGGCGAAATGTGATACGTTATGCCAGCGCCAGGCATTCATTACACATTTTGAGTGCGCATGCAGTTCGTGATTACTGATTATATACAGTGCGAGATAGCGGCAAATACGGAAAGAAGAACCCAACGAACGGTGATCTGCAATTTGAAGTTTTGTGAGTATAATTTGAATTGTCGCTGCGAAATATTTGGATTCAAATCAATATATAAACACCATTTTTCATGGTTGAAGTTATATTATGCGAATTTATTCATTAAAATTTAAATTTAGAAGAATAATCAATTTTGCAAATTGCATACGGGTTGTACGAGTAGTATTCTTCTGTTTGTTTGACGTTGTCATGGCAACGCTGATTTGATTGGTGCAGTTTTGAATATTTTTCTCATCCTTTTCACTTATCGAATACCCAAGACTATTTTAGCATATAAATACAAATATTTCTTTCAAAAAGTTAGACCTCAATCACATCTACACTGATTATATTTTAGTTTTCGTGGATATTTAAGACTCATTGTCAATTCAAACGCGTCCAGTTGCATTTTGTAACCGGCGCGCAGTGTCGCTCTTCGCTTGTTTAACCTTGTATTGGAGAGGGGAGCAGAGCGGTTCAGTGGAGTGCACGTTGCGAGTTTGTGAGCCGAACCGGCGTGCGCGTTGAAAAAACGTTACCGTTGTGTGTTGTGTGGTGTGGTGTGCGCGCGCGGTGTGTGTTTTTAATAACTCTTATCAAATTGCATTCGTCGGTTATGCCGTGCACGAAATTACGATTCAGATTCGTGTCGTATGCAAAGTATGTGTAAATGTGCAAAGTGCCACCGGGTGGATTAGCGAACGAGCCTATCGACGCAACGAATTCCCACCTGTGAACGACTGCAAGCCACAGGTAGGTTAAACATTCGTGTCTGTGAGAAAACCTGCATCGGTATCACGAATTCCACGGCGGCCGCGTTGCACTAACACCCACGCGAGATGCAGTTACGTGCAGTAAATTCAAAATGTCGATCTGCTTATTCAAAATTCGCTTGCACACAAACAAATGATAAACGCATGAAAAATGATAAAAGTTGCAACGCAGTCAATATAACATTCGAGGTGTCTTGGGACTACCTGTGTTACCCGTTTGCTCGGCAAACCGGTACGATAGTATTGTAAGCATGCGAACCTTCTTCCTTTACGTGTTACAACATAACGGCGTTGGGTTCATGCAGTTCAATTGTTTTCATGGTTGCTAGGTAACCGATCAATAAACGCATTAACAAGCCATCCATTTGCATTTTCTTCAAAATTGTTTTACTTTCAACGGTTATATTTTATTTACAAGGTGACATCAGTCGTTATCAATGACAAACATTTATTTGCATTATGCCATTATAAGCAATAAATCATGCTGCACTAACCAGAAGTTGTTCCATTCTGTGAATTTCATGTTTTTCGTAATTAATAATTCTAGAACATTTTCCTTGAAAGTTGACAAGTGCGTAATTGTAATCTTTTAACATCTTGTTTCTATCGGCCACGACACACCGGCAGTGTTTGAAATGCTTGGATCATCAAAACATGTTGGAACTGATTGAACTGATCACGCGATCAATTAAAAGGAATTTTTACAAAAATTGATGACAACTAATAAAATAAAACCTTTAACTTTCAATGCATATTTACCCGTAGAAATGAAGTTAAGCATTTGAATATATAATTAGAAGATTGTAAACAAAACCGACATAATTATCATAGCAGGCTCTCAGCCGGCCTATTGCCGGATATTGCAATTGTCGCTTTTGGAAGTAAACTTCCATTGCCATCGCTACATGTTACCTAATTCCATTCACGTTCCACTTTGTGCCATCATTGCCATTAGCGAGTAGACTAGTCGCCTCGACTAGAAACGATTGTTCGCGCGGTCATTTAATTCAGTTCTATATTGCTCTATTTGGGATCCCGGCATTCGAATCAAGATTGCGTCTGATTGAGACTTGATTATGTTGATTGTCGGTTTCGTAGCGCTGCGCCAGAGCTGCACAAATTGCATTCAAGCAGCGAACATCTGAATTCAATTGAAACTCATCTGTAACTACAGCGATTGCAGTTAACTGATAATTGGGAGTATTTAAGGTTCATATACCTTCGACCAGTTGACTGAACTTGAAGATTTTCGTGTATTTTATGAAAGAATTCAGTTTTATTAATTTTTTTATAATGAGTTCAAGGTGAGCACAACAAAAGTGAATGAACGACCTGAATGAAACTAAAAATTAAAACAAAAAATTATAGTGAAGTGGAGATAATTGCGGCATCAATGAAAAGTAACACGAATGGGTTATATTAAAAAAGGAGTGTGAACTCAGCATTAAAAGTAAAAAAATATAAAAATTTGGTGCTTTAAATTTGTTCCTCATATTTATTTACTGCATACTTAGTAGACTTTAATGAATACTTAATTTTTATTCAATGGTATACCGTTTACCATGGGTTTTACTATGGGTTTTCTATGCAAATGTAAACACACCACAACTCAGTCAGAGTCTAATAAAATTCTTGTGACGCGTGCGTTGCATGTTAAATCGATGATGATTCGAATGATTCGTATACCAGATTGTGTAAAATGTGATAATATCCGATAATACATTACTTTAGTGCTCAGTATGCCGGTCGTTCAATGTAAAGAGATCATGAGGATCATGTCTACCATGTGTATGTGGAACTTTATGACCGTCTTCACATTTTATTACGCTATTCGTAAGTACCAGAGCAGTAGGGTCTGAAATTTAATATCCAATTATTTAGATTCTTGATTTTTGACATTATGTTGGTGGGTTGCTTTAATTTGAAAGTATAATTGATACTTGAGTCACCAAATTTTTGATTGGTTTTCATCTCACGTCGGACGTGAAATGGAAAGAAAAGAAAACCGATATTGGTTTAGTTAGACATTTAGAGGGTAGAGAAATCGAAGATATATTCAAATTTTGTGTGCAATGAGAATAAGTAAAGAGTAATAAAACGCGGAGGATCACAAAGAGGTCGAATTATGGGGTATGCCGAGCTAAATTTAATTTTAGATTAGATAAAAATAACGAAATTGTTTAAAAAGTAAATATTAGCCATTTTAAATTTAATTTATACGTAAAATATTCTTAAAAAGTTAAAATGAGATTTATTCTTCTTTGAATTTGGATCACATCCAGTTCTTCACATAAACAAACGTAATTTAATATCATCTTTAATATTGTAATACAATATTTTACTGTTTACAATCCCTGAACATTTGCTATGTAATCAAATCCCAGAGTAATAAACAATTAATAATCCTTTCGATCATTTTTGCTTAGTTTACATCAAGTTTAGTTCAAGTTTGAATTTTTGACGCCTCGTATATGTCAAATCAAGAGATATAATTAAATTAGCATAAAATAATGATAACCTTGACCGTGGGCTAGATGTAATGGATTGTGATTATACAACCAGAGCGCACTAGATATTTCCCCGTCGCTTGTCGCGCGCGCGTATCCATCTTACTCGTGTGATGCCGTGTGAGTTGTGTGCGCAACGTGTCGGTATGACAGTTGTCTATGCTCAGTGCGTTAAATCACGCCGGCAGAGACGATGAAGCATTGCATACGGATAGGAATACGCAATTACTGCACGCCCAACACATTTAGTACACATAATTAATCTTCGTAGTGTGTTGTTTGTACTGATATTAACTCGGGACGGAAAATGGGACAACCAGCATGTTTAGATGTTTAGCATCAAGCCGGTGAGAGGGGGTCAACTGGGGTAAATACACCGAGGCCCGGCTGATCGCTCTCCTTGTCATTTTTTTCTTATGAATTAAAATTTTATCTCTCAAATTTCCGTTTTAACTATCCTATCTTATAGAGAATAGTCCGTAGATTAAGACGCTGCGATTCGATCCTATTTATTTCTTTTAGTTTACGAGATATTCGCAATTGAAATAAATCGTCATAAATTGAAAAATTGCCTTTTTCGCACTTTCAGTCGTGTTTTTAGACCTTTTACCCTATTTAATTATTTTAAATTTTTATCTGATAGAGAATTTTCCAATCTTCCATAATCTACAAATTTTTGGTTGCTATCTCTTTTAGTTTAGATGATATCAGCTTGCAAAAATCGTCGGAAACATTAATTATTGATTTCATTCAATAGTCTAAATTGTGCGACTAGTATCTGCCGCATTCATAGATGGCACTAGGATGCACTAAAAATCATAAAAACAAGTTATACGGCTTATTTTTATATTTATCAACAAATGTGGGCACGAGAATAGTTTTGTATACAATGCTGTTATCTGCGATTCGGTGTAAACAACGTTTTTAACGCAGGTGTCCCACGCGCTGTATCCTAACGCCGCATCAACTTGCTGCATGCAGCGAAGTCTAGTTTAGGTAATGTGCCTATTGCAAATTCGCGCACAAGGTCGTCTTTGCGCACCTCTTGCTTTCTTATCATACACTGTCCCGTCGTTGTTTACGCAGTTTCTGCATGCACTATCGGTGAATTGCAGTCAGTTTCGTGCCGGTCGCTGGTTAATCCAATCGTGGTTTGAGAGACTTATATCGCTTATTCGGACTTCAATATTCCAAATTTGTGTAATACTCGAAGATCAATCGACTATTTATTTGTACTTTGCGACTATAGTAATTTGTTAAATGTTCGGAAATGCCGGTTTTTGATCGCGTTTGTTATGTATATTACAAGTCACGTGATAGTGGATTTGATAACATTTTTCACTCCGCGTTGTGTTTGGTGTCGGTTGCTAAATTAATCGCATATATATCGCCCATGTTGATTCTCATCATTAAGACAGATCCATCATGCTCGTGTAAGTATCTTTTAACTAAACAGCACAGATTGTTAATTTTGCGTCGATTGTTAATTATAATTGAAATACAATGGTAGGTAGTACGAGAGGGTGAGTATAAGCCATGGCAGGTCAATGCAGTATTTGTCAAGCCAGTAGGTGTGCTGATGAGACCTCTAATGGTCGAAATAGCTATCCACATCAGGCTTGACAAATACTTGCATTGACTTGCAATGGTTTAGTAAAAATATCGTTTTGGCGATATTGTGAGGGTATAGCGTACAGTAAGTGTTTACTTAACTTTACTTAGCCGTTAATTATAACATAATTCAATTGTATGAAATATTTTTGTTTTACTTTATACTGTAAACAAGTTTTTTATTTATCACGTACTACCTACCTTCAAGGCCGATGAGAGGGGGGGGAACTGGGGTAAATTCCCCGGGGACCGGCTAATCGCTCTTAAATCGCAAACACAAAAAATAAGCAAAAACGATTGCCGGGGCCCACGCTGGCTCTCGACGGCCCTGTGTGTATGATGTTGAGTTGGATGAATTTATGTTTGGATATAGGTACATGTAGGGGAGAGTAGCCATATTTGGACCATTTATAGAGCCACATATAAACTGTCAATAAAAATTAAGTAGCGGAAAAGTAACTCACAAGGCTTACCAATAAAATGATATTTTTGATTTAAGTAAAAATTATATTTATACCCCTCAAATTTCAATTTAAAAAAATTGTGTTTTTGGTCCAAATTAAGAAACCGGTTTCATAAATTGGACCGCGCGGTTTCCTAAATTGGACCATGCTTTTTTAACGCCAATTGACACAATAGTACATTTTAGTTTTAGCAGTAACACAAGCACATTTTGTATAAACCAAAGTGCGGCATTTCATACACAGGATCATTTCAAAGATTTGTGCTCGTCCACAAGCTTTTCTAGGAGGTCGAAAAAATGATATACGTTTTCCCTGTTAAAACCCCGGTGCCTGTCTTCGGTCCAACTTGGGCAACTTGAAGAATTTATATTTAATGATCAACGACAATCTTAATATAACATAACCTCTCAAAATTAATACTATAAATTATAGATAAATAAAGAAGCTTTCTGATGATAATATAATAATCAGTAAAACTAACGTTTAAACGGCTTGACAGCTCTTGCACTTACGTCGTTATAATAGATTTGATAATCAATGATACACGAAGTTGTTGCCACGACGAAAGCACGCGGCAAGTTTTAACCCAAATAGTTGCATTAATTGTTTATAAATACGAGTAAAATAAGGGGCCAGTCAATTTTGCATAAACTTCAACAGTCCGCGGATATCGTGGTGGTCCAACTTAGGCGCTGGTCCAAATTAGGCTACCTTCCCTATATGTATTTTGGAACATGGGTAGTATTTTTTAAAGGCGAGTCTCGTGTGTTTCATCGTGCGTGACAGCATGGCTGTTGGCTGGATGTGACAATCGAGTGCTACCGTAAGGTGTGAGGAGCGTGAACATTCCAAGTGCTTTGCTTCTTACGTCTTCAAGTTGGTAACACATTAGGAAGACAAATAAACGCTAACTAACTGCCAGCCAAGTGAGAAAACTAAGCTGTGCATTTCGTAGAAATTTTCTTTTCTTAGTAATCAAAGCAAATCCAAGTAAAAACGTTGTGTTAAATTTTCCATTTTCATTTTATTTTAATTTCATGATAACAATCAGTTAAGATTTTAGTGGGTAAATTGAGAGTCGTGGATTTATTCCCAGAGTATAGGAGTTATTAATATGTTAACAGAAATTTTCTTTTCAAAATTTCACATTTTCTGGTTTTAATTTAATGATAAGTATCGGTTAATATTTTAGTAGGTAATTAATTTGATTATAAATGTATTTCCAGAGTATAGGAATTAGTGATATGTCAAAATAATAATTTACTGCCTAGACATTGAAAGCACATTCTCGAAACTAGTTTAATCCGAGTTTGAACATTTTGCAAGCACTCAATTTCCAATTTGTTTGGAATCTGTTTACTTGATGTTTGTGCGCTCGCAGTCGCAAATCACTCACCGCCTCGCCACCCGGCTTCATTTCAGCCCCCATTCATCTGCACCCGAACATCCCACGCTGCAAGTTCCAAAGCGTAATTTAGTGACGTGGTGAATGCTACTTCGCGCTCATCTTCACCCCGAAGTAGGAGTAGCATAATTTCACCCTTTTCACTCTACTTTCGACAAATTGCACTTTAATGAAATTTCCACAATTTCCCAACATGAATTATTTTATTATCTTAAGTATTTGCTTCGAAATAATATTTTAAATCCTACGTCTGCGTTCATTGAAACTGTATTATTGGTATAAATTGTAATTTATGTTCGTGAGGATCAGGGCGCGCAGAAGATAGAGGAACGTAAACAATTTAATAAATTAAGCATTGAACGTGGTCGTGCTGCGCTTGATGGAGCAAACACAATAAGCTGTAAGTACTTCAATGAGCGCACATTGTATACAAATCGAGGCTTTGCTTAGGTCGATAAATAAAATCTTTTCATATCGTTTTTTATTAATTGATTAACGTTGAATTTCGAGTGAATTTTCGATTATTTTGATAATTTCATAATCTTTATCATGTGATAATTCATTGCAATAGGTCAAATTCGTTAGTGATAACCTTTACACTAATATTTTAGTGATTTTATTCGTCGTTATAATTCTTTTGTGTGCATAACATGTGAGTTTTTACTCAAAATAAACATTTAAAGACAGTTTCGATTTTCACGGTTTAAACTCTTATTCAAGGTGAGAATTCAGTTAAATATTGCACAATTTAACAGTTGAAATATAAAAAATGCCCGTAATCAATCAGGGCAACAAAAAATACTTAAAAGTATACTTTGTGAAAAGTCAATGCCGAGTGTCCAAAGTTTGTGGATTGAACGATGTGGAACGGAACAAACGCTCCGTCGAATCGGGAAAAGAATTCCCTGACGTGTGTGTTAACACATTGCGTCCAGCCGTTCGACACCCATCTATTTATTTTTTCATTCCTACTTGCACACGTCTATTCCTGCTTCATTATTCATCCTGCATGTTTGCGTGTTTCTTCGCTTCCTCAAACACTCCAAAGTGATTTTTAATGTTTTTTTTTTCATTCGTATTTCGTTTGTTACAGATATAGCCGAACAAAACGGAATTTTCAGTCAATTGTGCGCGCTTACGGATCAAACGTCGTTGAATGCGGGCGCTCAACGCTTTGGGAATCGACAACAAACAGGCTAATCTTGACAAGTGCGATTGTCAACCGTGACTTAACATTAGCACAATTTTAACAAACACAGTGGGACGAAATAAAAGTCGATAAGATGTGATTGTTCAGCAGAGTGCTTCCGACTTCGACTGATAACACTACAAATATTGCTTTTAAAAAATATTTTAAGTGACTTTTTTGATAACGCATAAAAATTTTTGAATTTTAACAATGCCCGAGGAAAATTTCCCGCAGAAGGAACAAAACGGAGTTGACGGTGCGTTCAAAACCGCCGATGAGGAAAGCGAACCATGTCTGGAGGAAAAGAGTAAAGGCCGCTTGTTTTGGACGAAAACTGAACAAAAGTTGCGTGATAAAAGCGGCCTTACTAAGCATGGCCTATATTACGTCGGCGGTTTAGCACTGTTTGCTTTCCTGCTGCTGATTGTCGTCATTGTATTATCGGCGTGTTGGCCCGCCACGCCGCACCGGTTTCAAGTCTGCAACACTGAGTCATGTCTGCGCGCAGCTACACAGGTAAGCTTAAGTCATTTTACTATAGGCAACATATTATACACATGCGTTACCTTTGTGTACAGCTGCTTATAAGGTTGCATACAGTCAATGTGTATTAATTTATTTTCAAGTAAAATTTAGTAAATTCGGCAGTACAAGGCTTTATTCGCGTAGGTTAATCTGAAATTAATTATTTTAAATTTTAAAATATGTTTAAAATAATAATATTGATAAATACTTAGTAGATATTGTTCCGTGGATAACGGGAATCCAATTATTTGGCACAACGCGATTAGATTCTATTGTTGCCGGGAAAATGTAAGGTTTATTTCGGCGTGGGTCGCGCACATTTGAGATTGGCACGTTTCGAATGTCGATTATAACATTTTCAGGCACTGCAAACAAGCAAACACATGAAAACAATACATTATGTCGGAGTTATGCCGCTGTAACTTTTAACAAGTATAACTTTCTTTTGATTAATGTCAAATGACTGCGGCGGCTCTAAAGTAATATATTTCCGCTTTAATGTTGCTGTGTCTAATTGATGCAAGGTTTTGATAACTGCAAGAAGCCTCACGATTTACGGACGTGTTTCTTGTTATGTATTTAAATTAAATAAATGCAGCAGACAAAGAAAACGAGACGTGAAATACTCAGCGTAAAGTTCTCAACAATGCGAAACTTGTCAAAGTTGGGAAAGCTTAACAAACTTGAGCACAACTTGAACAAAACCTTCACTATTGTTTTCAGATCGTTTAGAGTTTAAAGTTTCTTGATTCGTTGATTGATATTGATTCGGATTAAATTTGCATTTGCGGAATCCGTGTTGGAAAATGTGATGTAACATCGCAATCCATTCCAATTTATTTTTTGTCATTTGTACTCTATGTCCTTTTTCGAACGCTGAGCAAATTTCATTCGTCGCGGTGTAATTAAATTTCGTTTCCAAAGGTAGTGGTAGCAGGCATAAAAAGCGTCGCTTTGATGGTGGAAACAGTAGACGCCTGTCCACAGTGCGACAGCATCGATTCTAGTTAACGTTTTCTCGCTTATTTACATTTTGCATGGATATTCAACATTCAAGTGGTTTTGAGCAAGAATTAATTATTCGCAAATTAAATTTACATCTTTTACCTTGAAGATTTAGGATGAAAATTAATTTGAAATTTATGTTGGATTATGAGTGACGTTTACTTTAAATGCAATAGTAGTTATCAATTAATTACTCTATAATTATTTATGTTGAAGTTATGATTTTCTCCGAAATAGATATAGAAATCAATTTCAAATTTATCCGAATAAAAGTTTTGTTGATTAGATTATTTAATAGATTACTCAAGTTGAATTTTGAGAAAATTAGGAAAATTAAAACAAAATCCGCTGTAACTTTTGACTAAAACTACATATCAATAAATTCTTTGTATAGTTTGTTTTAGAATTTATTATTCAATAGGTTTTTGAAGAAATTATTAATTTATGTTGATTAGTTTTTGATTAATGAACTATTAACTTCATCTACTATTGTTACTATATTGAAGGACTTTGTGACAATAGTGCATTAGGCTTAGTTATTTGTAATTAACTCAAATGCTATTCTTGCTATAAAGATGATAATTTATAACTTTATTCTTAAATACATTTTACGCCAAAGATTTACGCAAAGATTTTGTTGATTGCACAATTTCAACAGGAATTATAAACAATTAAAGTTGCAATCCGTTTGTATTTTTAAAGTAGATTTAAATTGATCTTTAAATTATAAAATCACAGCGTATTAAGTACAATCTTCATATATTTTATTTGGAATTAACTATTTAACAAATTTCTGAAGAATTCATTAGAATGACTTTAATAGTTTCCGATTAATTGATTAATAATGTAAATATTCCGCTTTTTATCGTAAAAGTAATTTTTTTGTAGCCAAGACTTGACACTTGACTAACCTTACCCTGTCTTTATATAGATATTTTTTTTCTGCGCTAACAAAAACGAGTTTTATTTTTGCGTTGCGAAGACATTCTTAATTTATAGCATATTTGGCCTCACACGGCATTAGCGAAGAATTTTGCTGAATAAATGTACGAATGCGCAACATATTAGGCACGGAACGCCACAAAAGGAAGGAAATGCTTGCAGAGAAATTTATTTTTATATGTCCAACTCTGTGACTGCATAATATATTTATATACTTATACATTAGGAAGAAAAAAAAACTAGCCGGCGTTTATAATTACCTTTGACGCGTTCGATCTGCGGCAATAACGTGCACAACGTGAATATCTTTATCTTCCTCACCGGCTCTTTATATTCTTCGCATCGACATACCTCCATGATTAATACAAAATTCCGAAAAATCAAAATTCCGAATGTTTATCTGATCAATAAATTTAATTAATGACAGTTATTAATTATGCGCACAATGACGAAATAATGTTTTGACATCTTTTCACTGTATGTTTGGATACAGAGTGTTCATGACACTAATAATAGCCGATTCAATTAACATCAATTAGAAGCGTCAATTAAAGCACGCTAAATTCAATTTAAATTTAAATACGCGCGGAACAAAAGTTTCACTTCGTTTAGCGCGTAAACTTTCTCATCTTTGCGCTGTTTATTCTTCTCGTTGCTGATTCGCTTTTTTTCGGTTTCGTGCGCGTTTTAGCAGGAACACAATTCCCGTTTTAGATTTATCGATTTTTTATTCGCAAAATTCACGATTCCACTCGCTGATGTAAATTCTTGGAGGCGCTCTCTCTGCATGCATGGGCTTTTAATTTTTATTGTTCATTGACTTTACGAGTTCGTCAAGGTTACGAACAATAGTAGGAAGTCATTAAGTTATGCATGCCATTAAAAACGAAGACGTAATATCTTACGCTAATTTATGCACATCGTTTAAATGATGTGCAACTTGTTTTAGATTTTATAAAAATGCATAGAGGGAGGAGTGGTTACAGAGTCTCCCATTGAAATAAATTATTTAATTATTACTTATTATTATATATTACCTAGCATAGAATGAGATTAATAATTAATTATATAAATTTATATTTACCCAAAAACCAATTATTTGTGAGAGAGTTGATTAAGAATTAAATCCTACAGTAACCTGTAATTTTGATACTAAGATAAATAAGTACTTATTAGTTATAAACGATTAAATTTTATAATTAGGTGTATAGCTATTAAACTAGCACAAAAATGAATTTTATATTGAATAATATTCAAAAGTAAATGGAACTTGCTAGTATGGCGTAAGTGGAGGGCAACTTTTCCAAGAGAAAGAGGAGCTACTCGCAAAATGTAGTGGGGGAAAAGTTGAGCGTTGAGCGGAAAGAATACTTTTAATTTACGAGATATTCGCGATTGAAAAATGTCACTTTTTAGCACTTTTAGCCACGTTTTTAGACCTTTTACTATTGGAAATATTATTATTTTATATTTTTATCTGATAGAGAATTTTTCAATTTTTCATAATCAGCAATTCGTGCGTTGCTATCTTTTTTAGTCTCTTAGTCTCTTTTAGCCCCTTGGCAATTTTTTCTTAAGAATGAAAATTTCATCTCTCAGATTTTCGTTTTAACTATCTTATCTTATAGAGAATAGTCCGTAGATTAAGACGCTGTGATCAGATCCCATTTATCTTTTTTAGTTTGCGAGATATTCGCAATTGTAAAAAAATCATATGTGCAGTTTACACGCGTTAGAAGAGAAACCTTCAGAACACTGCACTGCGAGAGAATGAGACGAAGGATTTATAGGGTTTCAAAAAATCATTTTTCTTCTATTGTTTATTTATAATTTCGTTAATTCAATTTTGATGGCACTTGTGGCATCCCAAACATCAGTATCCAAAGTTTTACGAAAACGTACAACTGAAGCTGAGTCACGCTCGATGTCACGACTAATTAATGCCATCGTTATGAGAGCATGTTTCTGACAGCGCAGACATGCCTCGTGGATGTAAACGCGTCGCCAGATTAATTGTTTTCGACGTAAATCACACTTTCACTGCACTTGATAAAGTCTAATTCGATCGCGGACAAATTGCACGAAATTATTACGTCAACCGCTCATAAATCACTGAATTCATTCTGGCCTTTAAATAGAAAATATCAACGAATCTTTACTTTCATTATGGTCCGGTTTTTTTTATTAATAAATAAGAATAAAAACTTGCACTTGACTTGATCCGCATAACGATCATCTTGTTTCGTCTGCTTTCTGCAACCTTCGCATTTCGCTTTCTTTACATTCTTCCAGTTCAACATCTTCGGCGGCTTCGCTTTGTGCTTATTTCATAAGGTTCGAAAGTCGAATCGATTTCGGTTTTCGGCGGAAAATGAGAGAAAGTGTTTTATGAAGGCATCAAGGGTTTCGTTTTTTTTCTTCTTGATCTCTCAAGAAGCCCACGATCCAATTTATTTTATTTTTATAATAAAGCCTATAAAGTGTTTTCAATTATGTTTTTATTGTTTCAGGTCAGACAATATTTAGACGAATCATCTGAGCGTTGTAATGTACGCGAGTGGGCGTGCGGGGGTTGGTTACAAGGGCGCGAACTATCACCCGAGCGCAGCAAGTGGAATCGACGAGTTGAAGTCGAACAACAAGGTAATTTATCATTCTTGTTTACGTTTACACAATGTTTTATTTTTAATTTTTTTATACAAAATTTATTCGTATTTTTAACTTCTTGACTCGATAGGCGCCATATGAAGCGTAAAAATAAATAAATTACCTATATTCATTCAAAACAATTTTTTTTAACGTGTTGTGGTTATTTATGCGTGAATAATTTTATCTCTGTAAGGATTCACGTTTAGCGTCAACCGGGTGTAGGGAAATTTACATAATTTCGTTTGACACGCGCGCATGAAAGCGATTACGAGGAAATCGAGGAAATCTTGGCGCTCACCTTTTCGTTTATATTTACATATTGCGCCGCGTGAGCAAACAGCATTTAATCGAATCTTCGCATCTCTGCCGGAGTCATTCAAGTAATAGACAATGAGATAACCATCTAATCATTTGTATTTGCCCAAACAATTATGAGCATGTCCAGCGAACGTGATTTAAATTATTTCCGCCTAGCGAAATTTATTTTTCTATTGATAAGAGCTTTAAAATACGATTTTCAAGCGATATTAAATAAAAAAACAGGTGGAGACGAAAAGTGGGTCATATTTCCATTCTGCGACAGCATTTTACGAGTGCATTCGAGGGCGAAACGATAGAAATTTTCCGGGCAATAATTTATGTTTCCCGACACCAGAAACATTTCGTTATCAAGGCGTGAAAATGCGAAAAAGGAAATGTTTGAACATAAAAAAGCTTTAAATATTCAATTTTATCATAAAACACCCCTTTTATTTTATATTATGTTTGCCTAATAAATCTACAGCAAGTACCTCCAAATATTTGAAGTTTTCTTTTTGTACGCTTGCAGAAGCTGTGCGAATTCGTGAGATGATATCGACCCTGCCGCTGCCGTTGTCCCGCGGCACCATCGAATGGAAATTGAAATATTTCTACGATGCCTGCGTCGACGTGGACGCCGTGAACGCCGATGGGGATCGACCTCTGAAAACCATCATCTCCGAATTAGGTGAGTGCTTAAACTCCAACTTCGACCGATTGCATTCGTTTTCCGCTTTACTTTTTCTCTCCTATTTTGCGACGTTTTTTTTTTGTACAAATCCCCAATGAGAAAAATCCGGAAGTATTTTATTGTACAAAATGAGATAAGTGGAAAGTGAGACAAGTAAAACTTTTTTCGTTATACGCGGATGTGACAAACGTTGGCAGAGAACAAAATTGAATTTTATTCTTGCGCGTCTTTTCTTTATTTCATTTCGTTGTATTTTTCCGAGTATTAATATAATTTGTCTGGTTTTCTTCAGAAAAAAGTTTTGCTAGGTAATATCTTGATTATTTCGACATAAATATATGCCTCGAACAGGGTTTTATTTGTTTTGGCTTTACTAGCCAATAAAACAGTTCGTTTTTGTTTGCGTTTTCGCATTTGCTTCGGGTTGCAATTTCATTAATGTTTGCCTGTCTCGACGAAGTAATCTCATCGGGATGAGCTACTCCAGGGGCTCTTGAATAAAAATCATGAGAGGGGAAACATTGCTTGTTGAGGCAAAACAAATTAGGGTAATATGAAAAAAATCACAATTTTGCTAAAAATAATCGCCTTTAACTTTATTTACTTTTCCAAATAATTTAGAATGACAAATATTATCTTTATGATGTATAATATACTTTAAATTAATAATTATTTTTATTTGTTTCAGGTAAGTCGCAATTTCTTTCTTTTTGCACGAAACTCCCGGGAAATGTAAGTTTTTTATTACTAAGAAGTTAAAACCAAAATAGTCGAGCGATTATTGAATTACAAAGAGTAATGGATACGATTAAGTTGATTGACTGAACTTGTACTTGCGATATATGGTCGTAATTTGTCACACCTGCTCGCGGCAATTTACGTAGTTAACGCAGACGAGAACGTGAAATTGATGTGTGGGGATCATTACCCAACGCTTATTCTAATTCTATTCTATCTATCTATTCTAATTTTCTTCATCTATATTGCATGCACTCTATAACTTTCTTCATCTATATTGCATGCCATAATTCTTCGTATAAAATTCCCAAAATTCCTAATTACTTTTATTACCCTTGAAAAACCTAATCCCCGAGTCGGACGGTTTGGCACGCTGTATCTAGCGTGCGGTCAGTAGCAGATGGTCCGGCTCGGATTCCCAAAATCCGATGGTCAACTTTCCCTCTCTTCAATGTCACAGACTTTCTTCTACCAATCAAATCTATCGCTTTCTTCCTACTTCCAAATTTCTTGTCACCACCCATCAACCTGAAGGGTTGCTGGTGAGTGACAAGGGTTTAGGAAGGTCAGTTATTCTACACATTTCACAAGCGACACTTCTACAGTTCTTGACATTACTTCAAACACTACAGTTCTTAACTATTCTTCTCTACAATACTTCTTAACTATACTTCTTCAAGACTTCTTAATAAACATTGTTCGTGATAATAAACATCGTGTCTTTTAAACACACATCAATTATAACATTTGCACTCACTCACCGATCCCACAGATGAAACTTCCTAAAGTTAAGAAGTTTCACTATCACCAGTCACTATATATCTTTCGATATCTTACGTGACGTGTTAATTATTCCTTTACTAGGAAACTTCAACTCAGCACACCGCACATTTCCTTTAATAAAACATTTTCAAATACCTATTGAGGATTATTGTTAATGAAACTCGAATGGGGTTTGTGTTTAGTAATATTTTTGTGTGTGCGCTCATTTAATAAGCGCGCAATGGGTAATAAATCACGTCTGCGTTTATTTTGAAAGCACTCAAGCGCACCACGGCTGCCGTTTTATTAAAATAATCGAATACTGCACATCGGACGCGCATTAAAATGCGTTTTATACTATCAACATCAACGTTTAATTTGCCGGATGAACGGCAACTGGCGCTCATTGACGTGTACGCATATTTTTAGGTTGGATATTTATAGGATTTTACTTCGTCTTCTATTTTGCAAGACATATCCAATTGTAAATGTTTATTACAAGTGGATAGCCAAAGTCTAAGAGAAAAGAAGAATTTCAAGGAGTAAATAATTTATGCAAACTGAATGATCCGGGCTTATACTATAACTCAAATAATACTATTTTTGTTTGTTGCACACTCATATAATTTAACAATCATTTTCACACATTCTTTTATATTCATTCATTTGTCGTCTATACGGAATTACATTTCATTTCCTAGATGAATCGTCGTTTAGTTTATTTGCAATCGGTTGATCACTATGATTTTACAACTCGAATTGTCATTAAAATGTTGATAATGCATTTGTAAACGCATAAAACGAATCATTCGCGGTGCGCACTTAGCAAAGTGGCGCGATATTTACGACTAGACTAGTAAAACTCACGCCGCGCATAAAACGCATAAATATTTATGTCATATTTGAACCGGCCGATGCTTTTACTACCAATTTACGAGTATTGTTGCCTTCGATTGCAAATAAGTCTATCAGCAAATCGCATATTGCACAATGATTGCACATGCATTTTTGAGGTTATATTTCTTTACCATCTGCGGGTTGGATTTGAATGTTAGGTTAGGTTATGACAACGTATGGAAATATTTTTCGGCCACACTTTCTCTGAAGATGTCTTCGCCGGTGTCCCGCGTCGCCTTAAATGGTTTGTGAGTGTGTATCCGTTTATTTATTGTATGCATACTTGTTCATACGTATCCTTGTAACGGCTTTTATTGCTACCGGCGCAAATGTTGTAATATCAAATATCACCATACGACACTGTGCGCATACGACGCGATAAAAGAGATATTTTACAAATCAAACTCAAACCACAGTGGAATAGAAATAGAAACGCACGCATCACACGAACAAAACCAAACGATTTTTTATTTTTTATACGGGCTACAAATATATTGTTCGACACGCACTTAATGCCAACATCTAAGTCTACGCATAATCCAGAATAGAATTCGACATTTTATTATTATACCTAGAGATTATTTATTAAATATTTTGATAAGCGTAGTAAATTGAACGCCCACATGATGCAAACAGCGAAACATCGCACGATTTCCGCTTTGTCATTGTAATTAATGCCAAATTATAAATAACAACAATGTTAAGCATCAAGTCGAGATGTTAAGCGATAAATCTTTTCATAGTTTTTTAACATGTTTGCAATACAAACATTATATGTTTTTAATAGACTATAGTCAATGGTTGTTTGTTTAAGGTATTAGAACATTCATTATTTTTAACTACACTTCACTTTAGATAGTGCTCGAGGATTATTTCTGGGATTGTCCATTACAATAATGTAATTGATTTGCATACTCTTGTAAATTGCAATTCTACGTTTTTTTCTTTTTTATTTCCTATAAAATTTTAAATTCGGTGATTACGAAGTAGATTACGCTGCTCACGTTTAATAAATCTCGTGACTAACACGTTGTTTAACGCACTTGATGCTTAATATACCTACTATATTAATATTCTATTTTATTCTTATTTCGCATTTTGTGTTGCCTACTTGTAATAGATTATGAATGTGTACACATTGCATATTGTTTATTCTCGATGCTACGCGCTCTATGCATTACGCAAGTTTTTAAAGTTCTTACTTACTTTTGCTGCGTGCGGTTTCGTCCGTTTGTTAAATTTGTGCGCGCACGAAACACGCGCTGCACTCACACACATACACCTAAGCACAATTTGTCTATAAAGAGAAAGGATTTTTGGCCGGCTGCTAATTATCGCCACAATCGTGGACACAGTATTATGTCATATACATTTTTTCCATTTAATACGTGCATCTCATGAACTCACTCAACTTTAAAATTACATTCTATGCCTACTTTTAGTATTGATAGTGTTAAAGTTATAACTTTTGAAGTGGTAGTACCAATTATTGGTCATTATTGTAAGTAGTACTTACTCGCGGATTTATATTGGATTACTTCATATAAGAATAAGTGGATGATATTAAAATAAATGCAGGTTGGAATTTTCGTTAAGGTGCAATAACACGTTTTTTTTTTCAGTTCGTGAGCGAAATGTAACTGATGATTACTTATTGACCTAAAGGGAAACTTTATGTTCTTCACCTTCAACGCAGTCTTTCTTTATCGCGTTTTGCGTGTGCTGTGAGTTTCGTTTTCGCACAAGTCAGCTTGCCGCAAACGCAGAGCGCACAGAGCAAAGTGTTGATGAATTATTGGGAGAAAGTCCCGTGAAGAAAACCGGGTGACATTTATATCGAAAATGAGGCACGTAGCGGAAGAAAGTGAAAAATAAAAATACGAAAATTATACGATACACTACAAACAATCATTGATATTGATATTAAATTATCATCAACTTCAAATAGTTTGTTTAGCCAATATAATAAATGTCAACGTGTGGGTGTGTTGACATTTTATTTTTGATTTTATTTTGCATACATATTTAGAGCTCGGTTAAATTTTAAAATTTGAGCTGTAAAGTTTTATGACTTCATAAGTTTGCGATGTCGTGCGTGATGTACCGACGAAAACTAGTAGTTTATAGTTTTACACGATAATTACGGGCGTTAGGTAATAACGTATAATCATCGCGGGCATTCATAACGAACGCTCGGACAGCCCGCAGCTCGAGTGAAATGAATCACAGAATCAGGTTAGGCGTGTTAGAGATGTGTGCCTCAACTTCTTGTCCGTCTCTCGCTTTTGTGCTTCTCTTTAGCCAACGAATCGAGACACAACTCCAAAGGTTACTAGTGTTACACACAAATAAAACTATATTTTACTGTCTAAGCATTAAGTTTTTGCATTCAAGAGTGAGACATTAAATTATTAAGAAATAACAAATACTTAGTTTAATATTACTGACATAAACATTTTACCATGTACTTACTCTAAAACAAATTCATTTCATGCGGAATATGCAAATTTGTTTGACAAAATTAAATTCATTGCAGCCTAAAAGTCGTCCCTTTGATAATACGCAAGTCTAAAGTAATGAATCCAATTAATCAAGACCGC